TTTTGTAGATAACAGCCATTCTCACAGGTCTGAGGGGATAGCTCCTTGTGGTTTCAGTTTGCATTTCCCTGGTGATTAGTGACACTGAGTATCTTTTCATATACCTGTTAGCTATTTGTATGTCTTCTTTGGAAAAAACGTCTGTTCAATCCCTTTGCCAATTTTTATATTATATTATTATATTATATTATATTATATTATATTATATTATATTATATTATATTATATTATATTATATTATATTATATTATATTATATTTACTTCATTGTTGAGTTTCCTATATATTTTGGATATTAAATTCTTATCAGAAAGATGATTTGCAAATATTTTCTCCCATTCTGTAGATTGCTTTTTCATGAAGCTTTTTAGCTTGATTTATTTAGTCTACTTGTTTATTTTTGTTTGTTATTTTGGTGTCATATCAAAAAACAAAAACAAAAAACAATCACCAAGACCAATGTCAAGGAGCTTTGTCCCTATGTTTTTTCTTGGGGTTTTATGGTTTTGAGTCTTAAATTTAAGTCTTTAATACATTTTCAAGTTAATTGTTACAAATATGGTGTAAGATAGGGGTTCAATTTCATTCTTCTGCATGTGGTTATCCAGTTTTCCAATACTGCTAATTAGATTATACTTTCCCCATTGAGTATTCTTTGCTCCTTTGTTAAATAATAGTTGACTGTATACGTGTGGGTTTGTTTCTGGGCTCCTAACTCAGTCCATTGGTCTACGTGTTTGCTTCATGCTAATACCATATTGTTTAGATTACTGTAGCTCTGACATAAAATTTGAAATCAGGAAGTATGATGCCCCCAGCTTCGTTCTTTCTCAGGACTGCTTTGGCTATTCAGGGTCTTTTATAGTTCCATATGCATTTCAGGATTTATTTTATTTCTGTGAAAAATGTCACTGGAATTTTGATAAGCATTGCATTGAATCTACAGACGGCTTTTGGGTAGTATGGACCTTTTAACAATATTAATTCTTCTAATCGATGAGGATTGAATATCTTTCCATGTATTTGTGTCTTCTTCAATTTCTTTCATCAATGTCTTATGCTTTTCAGTCTATAGCTCTTTCACCTCTTTAGTTAAATTATTCCTAAGTATCTTATATTTTTTATGGTATTGTAAAGGATAGTGTTTTATTTCTTTTTTAGAAAATTCATTGTTAGTGTATATAAATGCATTGTTATTTTTTATGTTAATTTTTTATACTGTAACTTGACTGAATTTATTTGTTATTCTAATAACTTTTTAAAACTTGTTTTTGAATCTTTGGAATTTTCTATATATAGAATCATATCATCTACAAACAGGAAATTGAACTTTTCCTTTCTGATTTAGATGCCTTTCTTCTCTCTTGACTAATTGCTCTGATAAGAGCTACAGCACTACAGCACTACACTGAGTAAGAGTAGGGAGAGGAAGTGTCTTTTCATGACCTTAGGGGGAAAGATTTTAACCCTTCACCGCTGAGTATGATGTTATCTGTGGGTTTGTCACTTATGGGCTCTATTAGATTGATGAAATTTCCTTCTCTATTGGCTTCTAGCTATGCCTCTTTTTTTTTTTTTTTTGTATGTGCCCCTAGCAGGAACCGAACCCGGGACTCTTTGGTCCGCAGGCCAACGCTCCAACTGCTGAGCCAAACTAGCCAGGGCTAGCTATGCCTCTTTGTATTAATTTTTAGTGGTTGCTCTTGGCATTAACGTATGCATTTTTATTATAATCTACTTACAATTAATATTTGATCACTTTACATTTTATTCTCTATATCTTACTTTTCCCACTTTGTAAATGAAAAGGTCACGACAGTTGAATTCCATCTAAACATCCTATCTCTGTATTTTAAGCTACTGTTTTTTTATCTTTTAGTTCTTCATAAGTTGTACACTATAAATGCCATCATAGTGCTATTATTTTTACTTTTAATGGTTATTTTTAAAGTACATTAAGAAAAGAAAAATATATAGTCTTTTATATTTATCCACATACTCACTATTTCTGATAACTCACTTTTTCTCTTCCTGTAGATCTTAGTTTTTTATCTTGTATTATTTCCCTTTAACCTGATGGACATTCTTTAGTACTTATTGTATTACAAGTCTATTGGTTACTAATTCTCTCAGCTTTCAGTTTTCTGAAAATGTCTTTATTTCATCTTACTTTTAGAAGAATATTTTCCTGGACCTAGAACCTATTCTGTAGGGTTTCCGTTGTTTAAAAAGTATTACGATTCTAATCCCAATGCCTTACCAGGATGGGGGCTGATGGGACCTTGTCCTGGTCTGGGGCTGGGACAAGACGTTTGAGAAAGTAGGACTTCCGATGTCTAGCACAGGGAGGCGTTGGCATGGGCAGAGAAGAACCATGCTCGTCAGCATGGGTTGATGAAACTGCGAAGGACTAACAGGCCAGTGAGGGTTGATGTTGGCCAGCGTGGCCGACTTGGGTCACAACTTCCGAGTCTCACTGATTCTAGAGCTGAAAGGACCTGGAAGCTGAGTGACTTTCAGAGGCGAAAGCTGAAGGCAATCCCTCGGAATCACATAGTTGCGTGAGGCCAGAACGCCGGGCTCGGGGTCCTGTCCTCCGTCCCCAGGGCTCTGTCCTTCCCGCTCACCCGCCTGTCCAGGGAGCCGGGCACCCGGTGCCGACGGGCCTGGGCAGCACTCTCCCGTGAGCTCACGCGTGTCCTCACCAGGACCCCGAGCCGCTTTCAGAGCAAAGGTGGCTCCAAGTTCTAAAGGAAATGTCTCTTTTCTCTGTGTGTCTGGGTTACACCCCCATGGGCAATGACCCACAGCATTGCCAGCCCTTGGAAAACAAGCGGCAGGAAGCACTTTACACACGAGGTGCTGATGACCGTCTCCAGCTGAGGCCATCCGGATACGACAAACAAGGTCGTGGGCCACGAGACTTTGGTCACTTAACATTAACCTCATTTTCTGATCTAGTGCCTTTCCTAGTGCTGCTTCTATTTCCAACCTTCTCTAGGTCACAATGTATAAGACCAGGAGTCTGCCTGGGCAATGCCGGGATTGCCTTGATTTGAATTCCATAGCACACGTTTCTTTCATCATATGTTCCCATGCATGATAAAGATTTACAATAATTCTGACCCAAAACTTCAGAGAAACTATCTAAACATTATCATAAAGTGATATAACCATCATAAAACAAGATAGGGCAATCAGCGATGCCTCCACCCAGACACACCCCAGGATTCCCTGTGGAGTCCTGGGAACCTCAAGATCCGTGGACACGCTGATCAGAGTGAGTTACGTAAGGCTGCCCTCCTCAAGGGACTCAGGGAGCTGTATTCTGGGTTGCACCCCCAGCTAGCAGCAGAGGAAAGTGGATGCCCCTTTTCTGTTCATCTTTAAGAGTTGGAGTCCTTCCCAGCCAAGCCCAGGGGCCACCCCAAGGCGATCACATGGACTTGCACTATCTCCACAGCCCAGAGTCAGGACCCTCAGGACCCGACTGAACGTATCTAGCTTTGCCTGCTGCCTCCTTGGACCCTCACTCACTACAGGAGGACATTCCTGTGTGTGTGTGACTGACAGACAGACATCCCGTCAGCTCCTCTGCCTCCCTCCCGCCCCTCCTCCCCCTCCTCTTCCACCCCTTTGATTTTTTCTGTTTAGAATAACAATACCCCTCAGCTCAAAAAACATATAAATAACACTGTGTTCCAAACTAACGCACATTAAGAATAAGCCTCCCCTTTTAATGTTTTAATTGTAAAAAGCATTATTTTGGATGGAAAAAGGAAGTCTGCTCCCTGTCTCTGTCAGCTGAGATGGGATAGAATTAGGCCAGTGTGTTTTCTTGTTTGTAGCACAATTTAGAAAGGACCCGTGGTCTCCGAGGTCTGATCTAAGGGCTTCACTCTAGATACAGTAGACCAGGAGAAGCAGCGCAGGCAGAGGGCAGAGGGCAGAGAGGCTTTTCGATGATGGGGGTCAGGGTGGCAGGTGTCCGACTGCCTTCAGTCCCTCTGAAGCTCTGCCCTGAGTCTTGCGGGTTTCGCCAGGATGCAAGCAACGTCATGATGCCAATAAGAGCTAACATTTACTAAGCACTCGCTGTGGGCCATGCACACTTTATAAGCCTTTTTAATTTTCTGCCAAATGAAAGCGCACCCTCGGGAACCCTGAGCATCTGGACGCAGTGCTCGGTCTCCTCACCCGCCTGGGCCGCGCTGTATTCCGCGGGCCTCTGCTCCCCTCCCTGCCAGCCCTTCCGGCGGCCAAGCCTGCATTGTCTCCAGCTCTGCTTTTCCCTTGCAGACTCTCACCCTCCAGCTTTCTACCTCACTGGCTCTCCTGGGCCAGTGCTGCCTCAGAACAATCACCTGTAACGGCCCCATTGTCCCCTCTGGAACTTTCTGTCTCTCTAGTTCTGCTGAGAACCACCCCCTCCTGCAGAGGGTTTAGACACCAGCAACTTCAACAATAAGGCCATAGCTGTTTGTAGCTGCACATGAGAAAGAAGTGGCTGAGACCTAGCCAAACAATTGGTCTGTGGATGCTGTGGTCATGGAGACACCGCCAAAAAGTTCACAAGCGTCCCCACCGGGTTTTACGGCCTGTTGTTGATGCACTGAGTTAAGAGGTTTGCTTCCCTAAATTGTAAGTGACACAGTCAGCAAGAGAGTTTAAATTGAGCAAAGGCGTGGGATGAGAGCAAATTAAAAGATTGCCCTTCTCCTTGGCTCCTGCCTTTGGTGAGCCCAACGGCAGTGAATGTTGACCTCTGTCATCTTCGAAAATGCCACCTCTCTGTGGGTGCCTGTATTTCTGGAACATTCACCCAAAATAATAAGGTTGCACTTTCTCCCCTGGTGTTACTTCCGGGTTGTCTGGGGACCCAGCATCTCCTGATTTTCTAGTAGAGGGTGAGCATGGATGTTTTTAAAAATGGGTGCTGTACCTTTAAATTCTGAAAGTGAACTTGGCTCAGGAAGGCCAGCAGTCAAGGTCCAGCCCCTAGAAGAGAGAATAGCTACAGATTCTCCATCCTCAGTCTTTGCAAGGGGACGGCTGTGCCAGCCAGCTCGGGTAGGCTCCTGGCAGCATGGCAGTGAAGCTTGGGGCCCTCCTGCTGGTCCTTGCCCTCGGCCTGGCCCAGCCAGCCTCTGCCCACCGGAAGCTCCTGGTGTTTCTGCTGGATGGTTTTCGCTCAGACTACATCAGTGATGAGGCCCTGGAATCCTTGCCTGGTTTCAAAGAGATTGTGAGCAGGGGAGTGAAAGTGGATTACTTGACCCCAGACTTCCCCAGTCTGTCTTACCCCAATTACTACACCCTCATGACCGGTGAGTACCTTGTTCTCTCCTGGGTGGGGAGGAGGGGTGCTGGAGTCCCACCGGGAGCAGTTAGCGCCTGGCATTGGAGTCTTACTTTAATTGTTCAGGTTTCCTTAGTTTTTTGGGACACCAGAGACAGACAGGAAGTTTGTGTTCTAGGCCAAGATTGTTTTTTCATCATAGCATTGTTCTCTAAAAATTATCCCAAGAATCTGCTTTGGATTTTCAGTGTGGAGAAGAGAGAGCTACAGGAATAGATGATTTAAAAGGGGGCTCTTTGTATTATAAATCAAAATCCTAGCAAACCCCATATTCTCCAAGTTCAAGTTTAAAACGTCAACTGATCTTCACGTCTGCGCCAAAGCCCTGCGGTCCCCTTGTTCGGCCGTCCTCTGTCATCCTGGAGGCTTCCTGGCTTGTTTACCAATGTGCCGGGCTATGCCAGTCCACCGGTCTTATCTAAGTGCATTCCTGGACCACTCGGAGGGACTTTTTCAGCCAGATCTTGAAGTATTACTTAGCAATGCCTCTTGGCCCATCTTTGGCCTTTTGGGGCCAGATAGAGCACATGGAGAAGGAAATACACGGTTGTGTGCTTCAGATTCCCGTCTTTAACATGTAGCATCTGTTTAAAGGAGCAAAACAGAACAAAAGTGCCAGCTGACCCAGATGGTGCCTGGGCTTGAGAAGGCTGGGTTTGCCTGCAGATGGCCTTGCCCTGGAATAGCCAGTGTGAGTCCACGGGCGGGATCCTCAGCTCACACAGCTGGGTTCCTGGCTCCCCGCCGGTGTTCAGTAACCTTTGTGGGGGCCTGCACGGCCTCTCGGAAGGAATTCGCGAGCCGTCCAGGGAGGCTGAAGAATGCGGCGTTGCTGCTGCTCGCGCTGAGCTTCGCTACGTGCTCCGGGCGCAGGGAGAGCTCCATAAATTATGTGAGCGGGAAGGGGCGAGGCTCCCGGGCCGTTATGGATCTCCACGGAGCAGCAAAGCCACAGGAGTCTGGAAAGACAATTGCTATCTCTGACTCCGTGTGGGTTCTATCGGCATGTGCACGTGGAAACGTAAAATTAAAGGGGAGGGCTACTCCGGAGAACCAGCAAGGAAGGCGTGGAGAGGAGAGAAACCCAGTCTGTGCCGGAGCGAACAACGTGTTGATTTTAAAGCGTTTCCCCCACAGACAAACAGCAGTGTCTCTGTGGCAGAGAAGATGCACAGAGGTCCTCCGGTCCTCCCTGGCACGTTCCCCCCGCAGAGAAGCAGTTTGCAGGCTGCTGGGTCACACACAGCTGTCATTGTGTGTCCAGCTGGCCCGGGCCTTTCACACACGCAGACCACGCCACTCCCGTGGGCTCTCAGCCTCGCTGGGAGCCCCGATGCACACGGCCACGTGCGGGCCTCCCGGTCTCGGTGGGAAACGGACAGAATCCATTTCAGAAAGCCAGACGCCTGCGAGTGAAAGGGGCCATTACACTCCCCACAGAGGAGCCAGGCCCGTGACACGGTCTTCTGTTCGCCAGACCCCCATTCCTGCCACTGGCACCAGGAGTCGCGTGCACGGAGCCTCCGTCCAGCAGAGACACGCCTTCCGCCCCGGAAGGGCCCCTTTCACGTGTCCTGTGCTCGGTGACCATGCAGCTCCCATGCGGGCGTGGCAGAGATCACACCTGCCCTTTCACACCGAGTTCGCCCGAGGAAGCCGCGGGGTATGCCTGTATGTTCAGGTGGTAAAACGTACGAGCCGATGTGAAAGGCAGCTCGCTATTTGAGGCGGCCGTTCCCTCGTACAGAAGCGACGTTAGCACAGATGTGTCTGGCACGGCTCGTGTTCACCTGCGGGTGCCTTGGTGTGATTGTCGTACCCCTGCCGAGAAGTGAGGACCGGGAGGTGCCAGGCCGTGAAGCTGGCATCGCCTCCACTGCCCGGAACCGACTCAGGGCTAAGTTTAGACAATTTCCCCCAATATCCGTGCTTATTTTTCTACCTGATGTTGAAAAATCCCGCTTTCATTTTTTAATATAAGGAAGAATCTAACCATTGGGAATTACACTTAAACATATGGTCTGAGCATTTTATGAAGCAACAAAAGAAGCATGCTGGGTCCTTCTGGCCTAGCAGCCAGGCATGCTTAGGGTCCCCCAGAATTCTGACCTCGCGTCACTACGCGCTGCGTTGCTTAAGACAAAGCCCTGGTGTTCTTTGCGTGATCGGGAAGGGTGGCTCACTGGAAAGAACCTGGGCCTCGGAGCTGGAAGACCTCAAATGAGTCCTCCCAGGGTCTGGATGGTGTGGGAAGACGTGGGGTGAGGCGCTGCGCTGCCTCAGTTTCCCAGCTTCCAGGTCTGAATCAGGCCAGCCTCTGAGAGGCGGCCAGATGCAAACATGAAAATAAGCAATACAGTAGGACTGAAACAGAGAGCATCCCAGTAGCAGCTACTCTGCGGTTGTATTTTAACTAAAGTGAAGGTTAGGACTGGCAGCTCTTGGGAGGCCTGCCTGTGAGAAGTAGCACCTGTCTGAACTCCTAGGGCGCAGAATCTCACGAGAAGCCCCGGGGATTGTGGGGGGAGAGGAGCAGCCACGGGATTTGGCAGGAACCTCTGGCGCCATCTAGCCCAGTCATTGACAGGACGCCACTGTGGCTGATTTTATCTTCTCCTTCAAATTATATTTGCATCAGGGCACATGTAAACACAACTTCCAATGGTGATCAGGAAAAACCCATCAGACAATTCATGCCTGGGGACAAAGGGTCTTAGAACAGGGACTTTCACCAGGGCCAGTCCGGCATTCAAGTTGAAGGTGGGAGACACATCAAGTACCTACTAACATTCCAAAACGAATGACAAGGACTGACCGTGCCCCTCCAAAATGGATGTGTTGAAGTCCCAACCCCCAAAGCCTCAGAGTGTGACCAGATTTAAAGATGAGGCCTTTACAGGACCTCATCATATTCCTTTTCATGGTGGAGTAGTCTTCCATTGTATGTACACACCAGAATGTGTTCAACCTATCACTTGTTTGGGGCATTTGGGTTATTTGCAGATGTTGATCAATGCAAAAGAAGCTACTATTAACATTCATGTATAAGTCTTTGAATGGCTTTATGCTCGTCATAGCTAAATATGTAGGAATGCAATGGCTGGATCATATGATGGGTGCGTGTTCAATGTTAAGAAACTGTCGAGCTGTGTTCTCACATGATTGCGTCTGTGTGGGAGGGCTTCGGTCCTTCCGGTGCTTCACCCGCGTTTGGCTGGCTTGTCGTTGTATATTTTAGCCACTCCGATAAAGGCATAGTGATAGCTCAAAAAAGAGGTGATTAAGTTAAAACTGAGGTCCTTAGAGTGGAGCCCTAATCCAATATGACTGATGTCCTTTTTTTGTTTTTTAATCCTCACCCGAGAATATTTTCTATCCATCTTCACATAGAGTGGGGGGAGGCGTGGGGGGGGAGAGAGAGAGAGAGAGAAACATCAATGTGGGAGAGACACATTGATTAGTTGCCTCCCACATGGCCCTGACCAGGGCCGGGGACCAAACTGCAACCAAAGTACATGCCCTTGACTGGAATCAAACCCCCCGACTCTTAGGTCCTCAGGCCGATGCTCCAGCCACTGAGCCAAACTGGCCAGGGCATGACTGACGTCCTTTCCAGAAGAGGAGAGAAAAGGCCACGTGAGGGCACAGTGAGAGCCAGCCTCCTGTAAGCCGAGGAGAGAGGTCTCACCAGAAACCAGACCTGCCAACACTTTGACCTTGGACTTCAGCCTCCAGAACTGTTATTGGGCCCCCCCGTCTGAGGCAACTCGAGCAAACTAATACACAAAAACCAATGGGCAGTTTTGCTAATACGTACAGCAGACTGGAGGAGAGGAGAGTGTTCTTCCAGTGGAGCCCTGAGCTGTACACCAGTGAAAGCATTTCGAAGGAGGTGGGCTCTGAGCTGGAACCAACAGCCACAAGCACTGTGTGTGTGGTTACAGCTCACTTCCCGCATAAGCTCCTGCGGAAGAGCCTGTGCGGCTCCCCTGCATCAGTTAGATGCAGCCGCAGAGTGACTGCTAGTGGGAGGCTTTCTGCTTCAGTCTTGCGGCGGATCTTTTTGCGAAGTTATTCTCTCCTTGAGTTAAATCCACACTTGATTTAAGTAAAGTTTCACATAAAATCCATGGAAGAAAAACAGTGGTTTTTGTTCAATCCAGATTATGGGTAAGAGAAAATGCTGAGTATGTTTTCAAGCAGCGTGACAACATGGTTTTGCCAAGGTCAATGGCAACACTTGTTGGTAATTCTCAAACACTTCTTTTGAAAATTAAAGTGTAGTTGACACATAGTATTATATTGTTTCAGGTGTGCAACATAGTGATTCTACGCGTATATACCTTATGATGAGATCACCGTGATAAGTTTATTAACGATCTATCACCATGCAAAGTTATTATGATATTATTAACTATGTTCCCTGTGCTGTACACCACACACTGTGGCTTATTACTTTTTAACTAGAAGTTTGTATCTCCTATTCTGCTTCACCTTTTTCGCCCATCCCCCAGCCCCTCCTCTCTGGCAATCATCAGCTTGTTCTCTGTATATGAGTCTGATTCTGTTTGTTTTGTCTTGTTGGTTCATTTTTTTTTTTTTTTTTTTTTATCCTCACCCGAGGACATTTTTCCATTTTTTGTTCAGGTAGAGTGGGAGGGAGAGAGAGGAACAGAGAGAGAGAGAGAAACATCGACGTGAAGGGACACATCGAGTGGCTGCCACCCGCACAACCAACCAGGGCCGGGGACAAACTGCAACCGAGGTACGCGCCCCTAGCGGGAACCGAACCCGGGTCTCTCAGGACCGCAGGCCGATGCTCTAACTGCTGAGCCAAACCGGCCAGGGCTTGTTGGTTCATTTTTGCTTCTGTGTTTTAGAGTTCACATGTAAGCGAAATCATATGGTCTTTCTCTGTCTGACTTATGTCACTTAGCACATACCCTCTAGGTCCATCCATGTTGTCAG